ACCTAGTTTGCCTAACTTCAATAATTCAATAATTTAAAATCCGCTAAAAAAAAGGGGGAGTTATTTTTTATCGCGAATGTGTTTGGTAAATTGTAAATTTTCCAGATTATACTTTTTTTTAAACTATAATTGCGTAATAAGTATTATTGGTGTCGTTATTGAGAAAAGAATATAATTTAAGTCTGGTAGTATTCGTACTAGGATATTTAAGGAGAAACAATCGTATAAAAGATAAAATAAAAGGAAGAGGAGTCGAATTCATTAAAGTAGGAATTTATAAGATGCATGAAAGAATTTTTTAAATAAGATGATCGAAATAGCTGTGCTCTTCTACTAAAATAATCGCTCTTTTATGCTAAAAATTTCCCTTTTTTGCGTATTAGAAAATAAACTTCTATAATATCTTAGAAAATGAAAAGAGGGATAGGTCAATTTGTTTCAAATATCGTCAAGATTATTCTGGATTATATCCGATTAATAAAAAATCCTATGAATATTGTATAATTTGACGTTAGATTTGTTTGATTGAAGAATGAGAAGTTTTGATATAAGCATACTTGGATGATATATAATATGTACGTTAAGGAAGGATTGTGGTTTAGAAAAACGCTTTTTAAGAGATTAAACTTTATGATTTTTTAAAAGTAAAATGTTAAAAATAAAATGTAAGATTTTGAATACATATTTATTTATATTTAAATATGTATAAATTTTTGAAAGTATCTGAGCTCAATATTCTCGAAGCCACAAATCGCTATACACATCTTGTTTTAAAGTAATGATTGGAGGAGATTTCTATCCATTTTGAACAAACCAACAACAAAGTTTTAATTTATATGACTATAGCATATAAATTCATATTTAATTTATATAAATATTACTATTGTCCTTACTAGAATCAATTCAATATCTTTAAAGTTTATTAATATTTTTAAAATACTTTTTTATTGAGTAAAATTTTTTAATAATAACTTTGATGTTTACAATGCCGCCATTTTGTTACATTTTAATATAATTTTAATAAATTATTTATTAAGACCATATATGTAAATATACAACAAGTAAGAATTTAAAGTCCATAACGATCAAAGCTGGATCTTTAATATTTAAATAATTCAATGTGAATTATATATATAATATATGTACACGCATACCATATTTATAGTCATTCGAACTTAACATAATTTTATTTGTCATTAAATCTGTTCTTTTTTTACCTCAAGATCTGAACTAGTGTACACCGCTACAATAAATTAGATCAGAATTAGTTCAGAATTTTTCGAAAAAGAACAGACCTCTAATACAGTCAATAGCGCCATTTATAGGTCTGTTGCGTGATTCTAATGTTTTATCGACAATTGTCGCTATCATTAAGTAGCGACAGCCAATGAGAGCCGCGATTTCTTCCAGGATTGTCCTGCCATTGGCTGTCGCTAGTTAACGATAGCGACAATCATCGATAAGACGTTTAGAGAATCCTGCCTGTCCTTTTTCAAAGAATTTTGAACTACTTCTGGACTATAGTGGACAATAAGTTAGAATGAAACAAACTATATCTGTTTCACTCCAATTTATTGCTCTAATGTAACTTATTACATCTGTCTAACTTTTCTCATAGCAAAAAACGTCACAGTTATATCACAACAATCATAGTTACATCATGGTGATGTGCAAATGTCCGCTTTATCACAAATGTGATGTTACAGCAATGTAATGGTGATGTACGAATATCTTTGTAACATGTTATTTTGTTGACACGGTGACATTATATTTTCTTCCTAACTATTGTGATTCTATTGTGACGTGAATGTGACCCTTTGCTATGAGAGTTATTATTGAGAATATAGTTCATTTGCACACTGTTGCAATTGCTCACTGCCAATCACAGCGACTTCTGTTACATATTAAGATAATTTAAAAAAGACGTTTCTTTTATCTAAGATAAAGCTGGGGATAATATACATTCCAATAATCTAGATAAAAATAAGACTGTATATAGTCATTTCTTCATCTAGACAATAGTCTAGATAATGGAGGAGGATCAATAGCTGTTTTTTGATCTCCAACCAATTTGCATTAAACAATTTTTTTTGTATTGTATTAAAAATATCAACAATAATCATTATATGGAAAAAAAAACGAATTTCTACTTTACCAAATTATAGCTAAAGTATTAAGAAAATCGTAACATAAAATTGTGATATTTGTAATCAGGAGAATTGTTTCTTGCTAAAGAGTGATTTTTTTTTAAATAAGTGCAAAGTAGAATGTTTTATTCGATTCACACTGTAATGTAACTCAGGCCTGTCTAATTTAAACTCAAAATGCGAAAACATCGACGCAAACAAATTCAATGTGCGATTTTAGTAAGATTTCAGAAAAGGTGAAGATTTTTAGTTTTAAGAATAAGAAAATGAGAGAGATGAAGAGTCAGTTGAACTGAGATTAAAAGTTAATCTATATTAGTGGAAACGGGCATTAGTAAATGAGTTGAAAAAAGGTTAAGCGAGACCACATAACCGTAACATAAACAGTATATATGCAATATAAAATAAACGAATTATGGAGTCATTTTTACCCCAACCTTACCAATGGAAGGTTGATAAACATAAGTGTCGTTCAGGTTAGGTAATGTGCATATGTGGATGCGAACTGCAATAGCTGTGATTTTTAGATTGTGTGATCATTAAAAAATAGCGAATTAGTAAGTATGAAGCGATTTTTATAGAGAATAGTGAGGGCTTATCTAGAGTAAGTGAAGGAGAAGCTGAGCATAAAGCGAAAAATGAGATATCTGAAGATAAGAGGTAAGAAAAAAAGAGAGGTTAGGATGATGCCAGAAAACGCGAGAAGAACAGACAAGAGGGAAAGATAGATAGGGAAAAGAAATTAGTTTCCGAGGAGAAGGACAATAGAAAAGAGGTATTATTTAATTAGGCGCTAGTAAGAGAGAGAGAGAGAGAGAGAGAGAGAGAGAGAGAGAGAGAGAGATATGACGGAAGTAAAGAAGAGGAAAGAAAATTTACGAACAAATTAAAGAGGAATTTAGGGCCATGTGCAAGGAGAAAAAGATAACGATGGGCCAGTTGTTCTACCTTTTGATAAATTTTATCTGTTAGGTAAATCTGGCAATCCACGCATGTAATTGGGTAATCTTGCTACTTACTCAACAGATAAAATTTACCAAAAGGTGGAACAACCGAGTCTTAAAGTTAAGGAAAGACTGTGGGAGGAAAAATTAAAATGGAAAAGGTGATAAAGTGTGTGTGTGTGTGTGTGTGTGTGTGTGAGGGAGGGAGGGAGGGGGGGAGGGAAAAAAAAGAGAGAGAGAGAGAGAGAGAGAGAGAGAGAGAGAGAGAGCTGGTGTAAGTATAAACAGAAAGAAATGAAGAAGAAATAAGGAGAGGTTCGAGACTTTAGAAAAAATATATATAAGGAACAAATAGAAGAGATGGAGAGAGGAAACAAAAATGGGGATTTAAGAGGGATAGAGAAGGAGAAAGATGAGGGAGAATTCAGGAGCATATTTAATGAGAGCAGGAGTGTGGTAAGCAGAAGGGGAAAGAATAAAATTTTCGGAGATTTAAGTGTAAAGGAAGTCGGAGTATTAAAGAAAATGGTCATGGAAAAGAAATGAAAGTGAGAAAAACATAACATGATAAAGAAGTATTAAGGTCAGTAAAGTGCTTGCTGAGCAACGAAAAGAAAAATCAGACTTGGGCAAAAGATTTGATAAAAGAAAAGATTGGGATGAAATATCAAATAGAGAGATATTGGAAAAATGGATAAATGTTGCTCAGACATGTATCAATACTTTACAGTCCCTCACATTTTAGAGAGCATTTATACTGGCCGTATTTATACGTAACCGTATGCCGTAATCTGTAAGAATTGAATTATCACAGTCGAGTCCCTTACAGTCAAATGAGAGGGGAATACTCGAATGTGATTGGTCAATTCTTACAGATCACAGTATACGGCATACGGTTATAACCAATATAAATGCTCCCTTACCCATATTGATTAATTTTTTTGCGTCGATGGCTTTACGTTTTGGCTCCGAATTTTCTATAGGAATTGTGTTTGAAATTAAACTAATAATAAAAATACTATATACTAATAATAAAAATACTCATTTTTATTCTCATTAACCGCGTTTTGCAGTTTTTATATTTTTAACAGAAATTTGAACACGAGATAAATATGGATACGTCGTATAGCGGTAGACAAAGAACTAGTTCGATATAACTTGATTTTTGCCGCATTTTTTATAATTATCTTTGCATGAAAATTGCTCGTTTCCTCTTCTACATTTCTACTAACTCGAACAGCAAATCATACTCGGTTACTGTCAGAGTTCTGCCACCATAGTATGCAGCATACAATTTGCAATATGTGATCTTGGCAGACTTGGCTATCTGGATTATAATCTGCTGAATAAAAGATATTACATGTTAGGCTCAATGACCATGTTTATACGGCCCAATTTACGCCGAAGTTATAACATTCGATGTTATAACTACTGACGTTAAATGCTATGTAAACATTTTTACGAAGTTATTACATTGATATAGTAACGTAAAGTCGTTTAGTGAAGTGGCTTAGTACATCGACATTAAAAGGATGTGTGAACACCCTGCAATTGTATTATAACTTCAATGTAAATCAAGTCGCGTAAATATAACCTAAAAATTCAGTTTGCTTTGTTGATTTGTTGATTTCTTTTATTATTTTAGCTGGAAAAAAAAAATAAGATAAGCCTGAACGTGTAAACGCGACTCAATTAAATAGGAATTATAATGGCTGTTTTCCAGCTAGGACACAGAACATTACACTGTGTTCCACTGTGTAAGATACTTGTGGGAACGCAGTTTAGTTTCATAACACCAGAATGCATTATAGTTTTTCATTCTTATTCTTATGATTATATTTAGCGTAGCAATAATAGATTTATGATTTTTATTTCGACTTAAATTATAATTTTTTAGAATTAGCGATTTTCGACGATTTTATTGTAAAATAAGTACTGCTATCAAATAACTTTTTGAAAAGTTGGTAATATTGACATGTTTTACACGCTCGTTTTACATTTAGCTTTTTACAGTATTGAGCAGTATAACATTGTGTCACAGTTGTGGAACACTATGTAAGACGTATTACACAGTGTCATCTGTGTACATTGTTGGAAAACACCCAAAATCAGTTTATACTAAATTGTTTAGAAGCCGTAAACGTATAGAAGTGTAAATGTACGTATTAATCGATGTTGTAACTATTGACGTTAGATGTCATGTAAACGCTATTTTATGACAAAGTTATATTTATGTAGTATATGCACCATGTAAACGTAATAAGTAAAATTCACTTTGCTTGTTAACTTATTTACATTCTTTCATTATTTCAGCTTGATAGAAATAAGATAACTCTGAATGTGTAAATGCGGCTTACTTAGTCTGTAGAGGATAGAGGAAACCGATTTTGGTTTTTAATGATTCAAGTGAATTTAATATGATCAGTGTTGTTTATTTTATTTTATCGTTTGAGAAGATGTTAGTTAAGATATATGGCGTTCAAAAGTGAACGAGGAATGGAGCGAAGGATAAGAAAGAAATTCTAAGTCTGTTCTTTTTCCATCTCAAGTTCTAAACTGGTATATACTAGTGCAATAAGTTAGAGTGAGACAAGTATAGTTTATTTCATTCTAACTTATTGTACTAGTTCAGAATTCTTCAAAGAAGAAGAAATCTTCTATTTCACAGACAAATTCGCGTCATTTATTTTAACATGACGATCTAAGATGCGTTCGGGAAGACGCTATTAGCACTATTTGTGTCATTTTATCTTCATCGTTTATTTGTTTATTACACGTAAAACAAGGATAGAATGATACAAATATCTCTTGCCTAGCACATCGGCTAACCAGTCATCTCTTTCCTTCTAAGTTAGCAAATAACTCAAAAGACCAAAGACAATGGGCGAGTTCAAGACGGCAAAGCGGCTAGGTATGCTTACCGAACGATTGAATATGATTGGTTGGATCTATAAGTAATAATCAATTATGCTCATTTGCTCGACGAGCAGACTAGCCACTTTGTCAATTTGAAGGCGCCCAATGTGTAGTGTGTTCAAAACACTCTATTCGCAAAAGAACCTCATTTATCTGTTGCGAGTATGATAATCTCTTTGCGCTGTATCGTGTTTTAAAATTTATCACAAAGAATTTTTGAATTTTATACTAAAATATATTATTTTTGTTATATAATAATAATAATAATATAATATGTATATAATTTATATTTTTCTTCTATATCTATCCTGAAAATCTTTATATAATAATATAATGATATAATATATATATTTTTATATCATATACACCATTATAAAAATATGAAAATAACTCTAACAAAGTATTTCAATAATAAAGTTTTAAAACAAAAAAATTTTTTTTCTTTTCGTTCCGGACGGGAAGCTGATTTATCATCGGCTCTAGATTTCAACTTTTTCATAGTTTATTACTATGGTATATATTTCAAAATTCCAAATCAGAAACTGTAGAAGTCGTCCGAAATTCACCCCGGCCTCTAAAAGATCAAGTAGAAATTATATCAACATTATTAAATAAAAATTTAGAACTTATATAATACGTATAAATGTACTAAATAATGGATACTTTTTAAACTATGATCAAAGGTATAAAACAGCTCTTGTAAAAATACGTAAAATTAGTACTTTGGTATGTTTTAGAAATTCTTTAAAATGTGTGTCTCATTCAATCCCATAACTTTTCAATTAATTTGAAAGAGGACATTGATATAGAAAATGATCATTTTGATATTTCTATTCAATATTACGCGCGAAAATTATGGGATTGAAAGTGATATATTTTCAAGGATTTTCAGAACATATTAAAGCTTGCTAGTTGTATATTAAAAAGTGCAATTTATATCTATTTAGTACACAATGGCTTAAGAATTATTTATTATTGAGCCTGATATCCATCTTTTGTTTACTAGATTATAAGCTATATCAACTAACTCATTTTATCACGATCTAATTACGGAATTCTTTACCTTGAAAATCATTTTCTAGGTCAGAATCTCCGTTTAAGCAATGAGAGTGAATTAATTTCTCAAGATTAAAACTACAAAATCTATATTACGGCCAGATATTGGACCTAAGATCGAAGTGAGCCGACGAAAATCGATCGTCCTACAATACGGTGAAGAGCTACATGCTATTTCCCCCACCATGAACTCTGTCATTGGTGCGCCGAGCGAAAGGGAAGGGTTCTATTCATCAACCGTTCAATAAAACGAATCCGAGACGAAGATTCTATGTGCAAATGGTTATGATTTCATATGAACATTGGACATCGTCAAGAAGGTGATTATAAATTGGGCCTAATATACCTAAATAATTAGGATTATGGAATTGTATAACAGTAATTATGCTAAATGTATGCTACTCGTGGCAGAGCGATTAAATCAATAAGATCTTATTTGTATGCACATGTTCAATTTGAATATAAATAATTTATTTTACAATACATTTTTATAAAAAGGAAAAATTCGAATGAAATGAAATGGTGAATGCAACTGTCAGAACCAAACCATGTTTTTGAATTTGATGCCGATGGCAAATAAGAGACCTAATTTAGAATTACGAATTATTGTACGCCTTCGCAGTGCTATAAGTGAACGTAAATGAAGCGGCGAAATTTTTTGAAAAATAAATGCCGATATATATATGTGCTAGTTAAAATAAAGATTTCCTTATTGCGCAGCAAATCGGGAAACGTCACAAGCGCAGTTTCTGCTCGCATTTTTTGACGCTTCGTGCACACTCGGCAATCTCCGGGATGGAAACTCGGGGCCTAAGTGCAGTGTACTCACGCTCGATGCGCAGATCTGTCGATGACGTTGAGGCTAGTTCGCGCGGTTTCTTTAACTCGTGTTTGATAATACGAAGGAAGCGATGCGGGGAGCGGCGATAACGACATACGCTCATCCGCAACATTCCACGTTCGTGTGTTCGAACAAACCTGTTCTGTTCTCCAAGTGTCACTGTACGCTTCGTGGCGTCTCGTTTGTGCTGAACGAACATCACTAATAAAGCGTACTCTTTGCAATCACAGCTCCTCTGTGCGTTCTCGATCTCATACTCTTCGATGCAAAACAAATCTGCTTTGTTCAAGGGGCATGATATTTTTAAGGTGATACACACCTAAGTGATTTCATACGGATAAGTGCGTTTCCGTCTCAGATTGCACGACAGCATGACTCGTCGTGATGGCTTTTACCTGAATTAAAAAATAAAAAAAAAAGAAAAAGAACCGCTGAACTATAAACGCGAGATCATCAGGAATAAAAGCCATTCCTTCTTCAAGTACACCTTTTATGTTTGTAGAAGGAACACGCTGTAAAACTTTCAGTGGGAGATACTTGTCTACGGTCCGCCATCTTTCATCTCGATAAGGTCAGGGCCCTTGGCCCTCTAGGCAGGGGCCTGATTGTGTACCGTTCGATGTCCGCGACATCAACACAATTTCCGCGACAATTTGTGCACGCATTCGACGTGCAAATTTTTTATTTTATCGAAACACGTCGAATTTATGCACCAGTCGTTATGGTCAGCAAAATAGTGTGACCTCGTGCACGATGGGCATCGATCCAGAATAAAACGCGCTTGCGCGTATATGGTACAGTAAGCGTCATAATGTTAATGCTTTCGTTCAACGGATAACCTCTATGCATCGATTGCTAAATCAAAAATAAACGACAGTTATATCGAAACATTAAACATATATGAATTGCGTCTCAAAAAAAGAAACGTATGTCCTTGTAAAAGCATAAAAGAGATTAAACGTACTATATGTATGGAAAATAGGGAGAGGAAAGAAAGAGGGGGGGGGGGAGAGAATATTTCGAACATAAGCCATTTTGATATGCAAGGTTTGTTCGCATCGCATGTTTTAACATGTTCAACATGTTCCTGTCATAGCTCCTACTTTAATGATCGCGTTTAGATGAATAGAAACTATGGTTGGAAGTATAGGAACATGTTGGAGCATGCGACGCGAACAAACCTTTAGTTTTATGTTTTTTAATTTTTTTTTAGTGTATATTCCGAAACATCCTCTCCGAAGAAAATTTTACTCGAAATATATAATACACGTAACATATACTATATAGAATAAAATCTTCCACAGAGAGGACGTTTTATAAATGTAACCTTAAACATTATTAAGTGAAAGGTCTTTCTTTTAGTTTGGAATAAAAAACTTATTTTGTGGGTGCAAAGTTTACTGACAATGGAATACTCATCTCTGTACTCTCACTTGTTTTGTCCTTAAAGATGTCGCAACAATGGATGCTTTCCATTTAGTGACATAAATCGACACAAACATCATTCTATCTTTCTCGATATTCAGAGAATAATAAAGATGTAATAACGCTTATGTCGACTTGTGTCCCCAAATGGAGCTCAGTGTTGTTATTCAAAACTGAGTATCAATCACGTAACATTTTCCTCAGAATGGAAATGCGAAAAATGAAAATTTTTATGTATATATGTACATACATATGAAGAGGTGAAAGTGATGTAAGTCACTTTTATGATTTCGAGAAACAAAAGGTTCTTTCAGCACTTGTTTCAGTAAACGTCACTTCAAGTTGATAAGTTTAAAAAAGTGACTTACATCACTATCGTTCCTTGATCACTTTATGTATACACATACATACAAAAACATTTCACTTCACGTTTCCGCCCTGGAGAAAAAGTTACACATGATTAATTTCCTGCTCGATACCTGCTGTCAGTCTGTCACGAGATTGCTTTGCGCGCGTGGATACTGCTCGTTTTCTGCCACTAATGGGTTTCTGATAATCGGAACATTCTATTAACAGAACGGAAGCAGAATACAGTTGTAGTTGATGTCAGTCTGCTAACATTTTTTATCAAATTTGCTACCAATCCACCGATATTCTGTTAACATTTTGCTTACTAAATACATAAAAATTTTCACTTTTCACATTTCTACTTTAAAGAAAAAGCTGATCAATACTCAGAATTATCTGTTATGTTTCTTTTCTCTTTCTCATCTATTTTTATCGTATTAATTTATTATATCCGATTTCGGTATAGAAACGGATTTTATATAGAAAGGTTACTCAAGAGACGCAAACAGTGTCTCAACCATAATGATGCCGACTCTACGATTGGCTACTTTTTTCGTTGACTATACTTTCGCGAACACAGTTGATGACGCGGCATCACTGTCGAATACATATACGCGACAATGGCGCTGTCAATCGGGATATGTGAAATGAAACGTGTCTGTCTCATAATTTTTATTTTAGGGATATTGAATATGATATTGAAATATTTTCTAAAGCGACTTTAACAATTGAATATTTTTATTAAATGATCAAACTGAAAAAATATAATTTATGATGTAATATATATTAAAAAGAAAATTATATTCTAGTCAAAATTATACATCATAAAGTATGTTAGCAATTGTTAGCAGCAAGAATCAAATTTAAACAAATATAAATGCGCTGTTTTACGTACGATTGTAAAAATTTTATGATAATAAAGATTTATAAATATATTTAGTGGGAGTATCAATTTTTTTCGTTGATTTTCTAAATTACCTTTGATTTAATAGTAATCGAGTTAACATGATCTCTGACAATACATATATTATGTATATATGTATGTGTATACGCGCGCGCGCGCGCGCACACACGCGCACACACACACACACACACACACACACACACACACACACACACACACACACACACACACACACACACACACACACAAAATGATATAAGCTATAAGTACAAATATATATTAAGCATATAAAATAAAATTGTATTAATACATTGTGTATACATTTCTCATGTAGTTTTCTATCTAATTATAGATTGAAAAGTATTTGATAATCAAGGATAAATGAACAGTAACATTTTATAATGGAGAAGGCACGAGCTGGAATAGTAGACAATTCAGAGTCTAGTTCTACAGTCTCAAGTGTCAATAGAATTGATATTGATGAACTGTCAAAGGAAAAGGAAGAAGAATTATTATTTTGTGAGGAAGAAGGAGACGATGAAGATACACTATCTGATGATAGTTTACGCTTGAGATTATCTGACGAGGAGGATGCTGAGCAAGATATTACAGTAAATGACACAAATATCATGAAATTAAAATCGCAGAGTAGAACAATTGGTATGTTCTATGTAACTATTTGTTATTTGTGAGAATTGGATTGTACATATTACTAAATGTTATTAAATAATTTCTGTATGATACCTTGATATATTTTTTTGTGTTTAATGAAATTTAATGGAATTATATTTAAAATAATTTACAAAGCCCAAAATATTTCTAAAGTATTAAATCTAGAAATATGAAATACAAATGCCACAGATAGAGGGGGAGGAGAGGGGGGGGAGAAAAAAGTAGTTATACTTTTTAAACTGTGATTAAACAAAACAGAATTGTTTTTATTTACTGAAATGATTGTATTTGTTTGCATCTATATTAATATTGTGATTTCAGAACAACCAATTTTAGATACAATCGTGGAAGGGACATTGTCTTCTGATCTACAGCAGACTGTGGAAAAAGTTTCTAAACCTAATATTGAAAAATCAACGCAGGAAATATATAACACAGGTAATATCTTTATGAAAAGCTATATTAATTATAATTATGACATAATAAATAATTAGAGAGAGGGGAGGGAGGGGGAGGGGGAGAGAGAGAGAGAGCTTTCACAAAAAAAATAGTGCAAGTTTCTAAATTAAATTTGTATAGTCATTTCGTGTATTGTTCCTCATCTTAAAGGATTAAAAGCAAAGAAGGAAATCAATTATGTCATCTATTGCAGCAGTTAAGATTCCAGAAAAATCAGCATTAGATGAATACACACCCGAAAACAAACAAATACAAGATAGTATACGTAATTTGGAAAATACAAGAGCGACTGTTAATGAATCTAGTGAAAAATGTACGTTCTCATCTAGCAAAGACTTAAAAATTACGGATATAAAGAATGAGTGTTCAGCATCTGAACAACATATAACATCAAAAAATGATAATTTATCTATAATAAATAATTGTACACAAACAGGTAATCTTCGAAACGCAGGACTAACAATTCACAATGAAGAAAATCTAAAAAAGACAGCCAGCGATAATAAAGAAACAATTACGACAAATATCTGTGAGCTAAATAAATCAGACAATGTAGACAGTAATAAATCTTCTGTAAATTCGATTAATATTAAGATTTATAATGATGAAAAATTGTCTACAATTACAACTATTTCTAACAGTAATGATGATAATTTAAAAGATAAAATAATAGAAAAACATATTAAAAATGATAGTCAATCTTCGAAATGCTCATATGCCGAATCTAATGTTACTTCAGATTATGTGGATTTAGTAAAATCTGGCAATTCTAATGATAATAATAATTCATCATCTTATAAAGACATTATTGCACATAAAAGTAAAAACAATAATTTAGAGTCTGTGGACATAACAGAAAGCAAAAATACATCAAACGTATCAAAAATTACAGAAAAAGTAACGAATATTTTATTGATACAAAATAAAAATAATTTTTCCAATATTAAAGACAACACAGAAGTAAGGAACAAAGACAGTGATACCAATGATAAATCTGTAATCGAAACTGTAAATAATTCATTAGAACAAACCCTTTTATTAACACTTAACGATGTAAATGATTCTGATAACCATAATGGAACTAAAAACGTTGACACTGTTATTCCAAGAAGAAAACGAATTAAAAAAACAGTCGGTACAGTACAAGATCATGCCGAGGAAATACAAGGTAAGAAATATTTGACATCAAAAACAGAATGGCATTTCATCAATTTCTATAATTAAAAGCAAAGAAAAAATAAAACATTAACTAAAATAATCTGAAAATTTTATCATTTTGCATAGTCAAATACAGTACTTTATTTCTAAGTGAACTTATGGAATTTATATGAAATTTTTGGTTGGACTCAAAAATTTTTCAGAAAATATATTATGCATGAAATATTCTAATATATTTACACATATTTATTTTAATATAAAATATGCTAAATAATAAATATATTGAGAAAAAAGATATTAGAGATAATTATTTTAAAATTTAATTTTCTATTAGTATCAATTATAGAATATATATATTCTAAAATAAATAATTTCTCTGTACATATTCTTTGTGTGCTTTGTTGTCAAATATAAAATCTCTTGTACGTTATTTGTCATTCTTGTTATATACTTTTTAATACATATGCTAGGATATTTTTATATTTTATTATTACAGAGGAAAAGGAGAGTAGACGAGAAAAACGGAAGACTGCTAGAAATGCAGAAGAGATAATCAAGAAAAAATATCTTAATAGCGATAGCGATTCTAACGATAATACAGAACAATTAGTAATAAATAATAAATTAAATCAGGATATAATTCCTGTGCCACCTTTAGTAGCGATAAAACGTAATTGTTCAGAAAGCGAGGTATTTAATGGTATTAAAAAAGCAAAAATGAATATCAATTCCGAGGAAAAGAAAGATGTCACACAATTATCTTTTATTGAGAAATTTTTCCGGAGGGATATTAAAGAGAAATTACCAAAACTTACACAAGAGGTAAAAAAATATTTATATTAGAATGGAATATTTTTTAATGATTTGTTATATCTACGAAAAGTCTCAATTAATTACGAAAACTAAAACTTACTAAATATTACTTTTACGATTAATATTATTTTAATGTTTAAGGAATTGGAAGAGCTTCTGATTCAAAAGATCGTTGAAACGATTGCGATGCGCAGTGAAATTGGACAACTTAGAGAACAAGCACGCATATCAGAAAAATATCAGGAAATAACGCGTACAAGAATGGAGCAATTAATGAAGCAAGTAAAAGATTTCGAGACAGTTCTGGATCGTAATAAGTCAGACCGCCGTGCAAATCCCAACAAATCTATCGCCCCTATAAAGATAAACAGATCCGTAGGCTTGCAAGTCAACTTCATAACGGTATTTATTTTTTTATCGCAGAGATATATTTTAATATTATATTTCCGCAGTATTTTTTTGAAATAATGTTAATCGCGATTAAATGTTCTACTTAAATAGGAACATGGAATACAGAACTTACGGCAGACTGCAAATCTCAAATCTGCAGTAAACATCGTAAACAACAGTAGTTCTCCATCTTCTGCTGAAACAAATAACAATTCATCAAGCCTAAGACGTAGTGGAATCAAAGTAAGATCGCCGCGGCCTGTAGTGACCATGCCTACTCCTGTAACGACACAGAGTTCAGCCCAAACAGCGCCTCTTATTTCAACTGTGACACCCGCAGCTTTAGTTGTTGCTAAACCCTTGGAATCCCAACACACTTTAACGCTGTCCAACCAGCCTACGAATATGAAGCCAATCTTAACTACTGTAAGTAATATGAAATTTAACTATTAACATTTATAGCTAATACAAATCATAAAACTTATAAATTATAATTTTACATTAATTTAATTAATACAAACTTTATGCAGTCGCAACAGCAGATTCAGTCGCAGTCACAGGCTATTGTCTTAAATGGTAAAATAAGTCAAGTAAATCGTCCGATAGCTCCAAAACCAAGAAATAACGATCTTATCGATCTTACGGATGAGGAAGAAAAGAATAAATGTATGTTCATATATATTCGCTCGTAAAAAATATGGGTACTATATCGATATATTGGCGCATATTTTTTGCGGGTGATTATATTTTTCTATATATATGCTAAATATTTATACACGCGCACGCACGCACGCACGCACGCACGCACGCACGCACGCACGCACGCACGCACGCACACACAGAGGATGTCCCAAAATAATCGCCAAATATTTCATGGACAGGTAGAACGGACTAAACTAAGTCGAAAAGTCCTCTACTATTTTGCAATTTTTGCAATTAATAAATATTAATTACTAAAAATTACCGAAAATCTTCAATAATTTTTTATTCAAATACTATTAACTTTACAAGAAAAATTGCAAAATGGTAGAAAATTTTTCAACTCGATTTAGTCCTATGCCTGTCCAGGCTAGTCTACCTGCCCATGAAATATTTGGCGATTATCTTGGGACACCCTATATATACCGAGTGTTTCAAACTACCCGTACCACCCTTTTATCTTCGCAAGATAAGGTCCAATCAAAAAAGTGTTCAGACAAAAGTTGTAGGGTTAATTAGGTCTTTCTAAAGATCTATTTACTGGCGTTATGAATTTGACCTTGGTTGGCGTCGGCAAGGTCAGATCAAGGTCACATCGATTTTTTTTAATGGACACCCCCATTTTTTATTGCATATTCTTATAGCACATCTCGAGAGTTTTCCAAAACACTATAAAGTTCAAAACACTAATTAAGTTCGTTTTCATTAAGTACTTTTTGAGTTATAAGACTTGAAAGTTACAGTACCTCCGGCAGTAGCATTACCCAAAGTGTGCAAACGATGACTAAAACCTCTTTAATGTCGTTGAAGATTACGACCTGGATAACATTTATCAAGTACAAGGAAGTTGTTTTGCTTATTTTTATTTTTACGTAGAAATGAAAAATTGGGCGTTGAATTTGTCTACCTTTATTGTAATCAGCTAGAGTAACACCTGTATTAGCAATTCGCATAGTTAAGAGAAAAAAACATGACGTGAATGAGGAGTGCAATTTGGGTATTCTTGCCATATCTTTCAGTTCTAAATTGACCTGCACACTCACCTAAATCAACATTATATCCAAAGCTTCTGCGTTTGAATACGACATGGCTGATCAATAAGAATTTATTCGCGTCCGCGAATTGGTATCTAATGAGAAATTCGACATAAGAAAGAGAATTTTTCTCGTGTAGTAAACATTATCACTTTCACATTTAGGTACTGTCACGTAAGGTATAACGAAATTCTTATTGATCAGCCATGTCGTATTCAAACGCAGAAGCTTTGAATATGATGCTGATTTTAGATGACTGTATCGATCAATTTAAAATAACTGAAAGATTATAGCGAGAACGAATCGTACTCCTTATTCACACCATGTTTTTTTTTCTCGCTTAGTTAAACGAATTGCTAATAAAGATGTTACTCTACCTGATTACAATAAAGGTAGACAAATTCAATGTCCAATTTTTCATTTCTACGTAAACATGAATATAAGCGGAACAACTTCCAATGGCTTTGAACTTGACAAATATTATCCAGGTTGTAATCCTGAACAGCATTAAAGAGATTTTAGTCATCATTTGGGCACTTTGGGCAAGTTTAATGCCGAAGAAACTGTAACTTTCAAGCCTTATAACTCAAAAAGTACTTAACAAAAATAAATTTAATTATTGTGTTTTGGAAAGCTCTCGAGATGTGCTATAAGCATATGCAATAAAAAATAAGGTGTTCCATTTAAAAAAATCGATGTGACCTTGGCCTGACCTTGGCGACGCCACGCAAAGTCAAATTCATAGCGCCAGTAAATAGGTCTTTAGAAACCCTACAACTTTTATCTGAACACTTTTTCGATTGGACCTTGTCCTGCGAAGATAAAAGGGTGGTACGGATCTGAAACACCCAGTATAAATGGTGCGTATTTTTTTAAGCCCATGATTTATCTTTATCATAATAAATTTGTAATTATTATGTTTTCCATATTATCTAACATGTCGAATCTTGTATTACAACAGCAAATGCAAAAGTTACGACTGTAACTACAACTCCTATAATTGAGCAGCCATTGAATGTAACACCGAAATCAGCGCAATCATTCCCAAGAGTATTACAAACAATACCGGCAAATGTAGCAATTACGACACAACCGACTAGTATAAAGGTGATAACAACTAGTCAACAACCAGCACCAACTGCCCTTGTTGTAAGCATTTCTTATATTTATTTTTATTACTTATTATTATATCAGGATGTTTATTGAAAAAATACACACACACAAACGCGCGCATGCGCGCGCGCGTGTATACGTATATACATATATAGTTATATATTTATTTTTTAGAATAATGTGAATCCGCCCAGGCTAGCATACGTAATGCAAAGTAGCACTGGCTCACCAAGGCAGGTGTTGATAGCATCGAACCCCAATCAGCAAGTACAGGTTGGCAGCAACGATTTTTTCATCATATTCTATCTAAAAATGAGTATTGTAATGTATATGTAAGTAAAAAATTTAAATATCTTCTAGATACGGCCAGTGATGAACACACCTAATAGACCACCTTTTTCAACTGTCACTTACAAAGGTAATTAAATTACTTTAAAAGAAACACATACTAATATTCCGTTTTAACATTATAAAGCTATGTTTTAGTAGAATAGAAAATGTTTAATGAAAGAAATTGATAGTAATGTTTTTTGTTGCAGTATTTTACATTATGTTATTTACTTCATTGTCTTGTCGACAGGAATATCAACGATCACGAATGGTACCGTACGCGTACTAACCACGCCAGTTCTATCAAATGTACAAATAAGTAAGGTGAATATCAAAAGTAAATTCTACTCTTACAATATTTGTTCAATGATTATTATTTTAGGATTGTTTTATTTCAGCATCCAGCACCTCTGCCAGACATTCCAAATTATGCACCGACGCCTGGCTGGAAACTTCCACCGCCTGCACCATCGTTGAAGATTTCAAAAGTGTCAAATGGTAAACTATAAATGTTACTGTTTCGTATAAATAATTCAAATTCAATACTTCTGAGACTTTCACGAATATTTTCTTCAGAGATGTCAAAAGGTTTGCGAGTAATTACTATCACAATTTATTGTTAATACAACATTTCGTAGATTTTGCCATTCATTTCATCACGGTGAAGAGTGTACTAATACTGCTCCTCCGGAGGACTCCCTTTATACAAACTCTATTAAAAAGGGAGAAGGAAGATTGGTATTAGTCAATGGATCACACGACGCGACAGTAATCTGCAAATTTTTTGGCACCTCTGAATTTAAATTCAACTTTTAAGCTGTGAAATTCTTAATAATATTAATTCTTATTACATCAATAGGGATAGTGCTATCCTGGAACATGAGCTTATCGGATAAATATGCGGATATCGCGAGTTATCAATTATACGCGTATCAGGAAGTCGCTGGTGTGAATCCCAACACATCATTATGGAAGAAAGTTGGGGATGTTCGTGCACTGCCACTTCCCATGGCATGTACGTTGACTCAGGTAAATTAAAGCAATGTTACAACTCGTCAGTGAGATAACGAATCTGTTGCGAATTTTTTGATTGACATTTGCAACACTATAAAAGCAATATTTTTGTTACAGTTTTCCGAGGGTAATAATTATTATTTTGCGGTCAGAGCAGTTGATACACATTCTAGAAAAGGACAGTATAGTATGCCTGGCAATATCTCTTTATAGAGTAGTGACATCAAATTTTAGAAGATCTCAGTTCTTTCTGTTTCTCCTTTATTTTTGTACTTGTGTTCAACGCGTAATTGTGATAAAAATAGTTTGTAGATAATATCTCATAATATCACAATACGAATCTGATTTAACAATTGATTTAGCTAATGTTTATATTTCGGATTATTGAATCTAAATATAGCAACTATTCCCGTTGATATTATACTTATAAATGCTTCCAATCGCACACGCATAATTTGTATATAATTCTCAATTTTGAAATAGCATATCTTGTTTCTTTTTTATTCATTTCTTTTAACAGGTGAATTTTCATACATTCTTTTGGGGCAAAATATTGATTTTACAACAATTGTAATTTATTAACATTTTTATGATAAATTCATGAAATTATTTCAATGTTTTCTTCTTTTTGGTTTTTATCACTCATGACAACCTGTCACAATGCTTAATATAGAGAATTCTAGTCAAAAGTTTTAATACAATTAAAATATATTAATATTATTTGAAGACTGTGGTTTTAGAGGAAATACATTATTATTTGAACTCAATTGAAGATATTCTTCAATTAGGCAACAATGCTTGATTATTTGCGCTGAGTGTTACTGAACGCTAAAAAAAAGATGGTGATAAATAACGACCGATAGACATAACAATTATAGCATAAAGTGGGGAATGTTTTGTACATTAATTATTGCTTGGTCTAATCTTACTTCATCATTGGATGATCTATTATTTATGATGTTAGATGAAAAATTGTTGCAGCAAAAAGTTAACTATATTGTGATATATATATATATATATATATATATATATATATATATATGTATGTATAATTACAAATATATGAGCATATGTATATATGTATATTTATTATTTACGTATTATTTATTTTTAATATTTTAATATTAAAAATATCATTCGTTCGTATCCAATTTCAATGTTTCTGTTAAGATAGATCCATTTGTAATAAAAAAAAGTTATATATATATATATGCAATACGGTATAATGATTGAAGCATTCTCCACTAATTTATTCACAAAATTATTTTGTTATTGTCGTTTTTCATTCAACACTCAATTGCGAACGGTTAAGCAGAGCATACTGCTTCGGGTTTAACTATTATTAATAATGCAAGATAGGAACCTTATGTATGCCATGCTTTTTTTCTAAACGAACAAGTATTAACTAAATTATTATTTAATTTGCGTGGAATATTTCTCAGTCTGGTTTCCAAACTAACATTTTCCAGCACGTAGTTATAATTACTCTGGATCTGATTACCTTGGATTTGCTCAAATTTTTGTACAACAAATTCAAATGTATTCATAACACTAACGTTGTAAGAAAATCTCTCCTCATGAGCGATAAACGCATTATTTCAATCGCTCGTATGTAAATATCAACATGTGTGTACACATACACATATATACTGCACATCGTCATTTATACATAAACATAAGTGTATTACGATATATACTAATTCAACTTAAATTAATAAATTTCATTTACTCGTATATATATATATATGAGAAGATAAATCATTAAATTAATTACCCCTTTTATATGTACACACACACACACACACACACACACACACACACACACACACACACAGAGTATAAACATTAAAGTTTTTCTTTAATTAAATAATTCTGAGGTTATTTTTTATTCATGTATTCGTCATATAATCGTTTTTTTTTTCCATTCAGCAGCATATTCTGTGATACACCAGTTTCGTTATCGCGATAACACCGAAAACAGCGGAATTACATTATAATGATAACGAAATTTGTATTAAGAACAACATAGCCCTACAGCAGCAGAATTTTATAACTCGTTATGCAATCGTTGTGCAATTATATCGACAGTTGTACAGATATTTTATGTAATAAAAAAGCTGCGCAATTATCATTATGAACACATGACGACTGCATAATGAGTTATACAGAATACAGACTCTGGTGTGTTTCGTTTTGCGCTTATCGTTTGTCCTGGTTTAATATTTGATAGACAATAAGGATGAACTGATGCCAGCGTATGAACGTGAAAACAAAATCACCTCCAGTCTAAGCATAATATTTATGTTAAATATATTCATCTTTTTTTATCTTTTATAAAATAATATGCATATTATTTTATAAAAGATAAAAAAGATAAATATATGATGATTTATAATTTATGATTTGAAAAGTTCTGACTCATTTCTCTCATGTAACAATTAGAGGACCTCATAGGGAGAGAATGGCAAATTGCATCACGTGAATGCCCATGTCCGATCAAGACGGAAGTCACATGAGCCAGTTTTCTCCTTCTCTTTTGCCTATGGAGCTTTGATGCCCATGTCCAATCAGAGGAGATGGGTCATGTGATGCAATTTGCCACTCTCTCCCTGTGAGGCTCTCTAGGTAAAGCTGGTTACACATACTTTCAGTAACAGTAAGAAAGTGTTTATATTGGCCGTAACCGTATGCCGTAATCTGTAAAAATTCACCTTCGAGTATTCCTTTCTTACAGCTGAATGGAAGGGGAATACTCGATTGTGATTAGTCAATTTTTACAGATTACGGCATACGGCATACTGTTACGGTAAATTTAAACGATCGCTAAGGTTTTCGACCAATCGCGTTGTTTTTGGTCGTCCGTAAAGCTAGTCCACTTTCCATAACAGTAATCATAAACATAACGTAGGTTTTTGACCAATCACGTTGCTTGATTTGATCATCCATAACCGTAACAATTGAGCAATTGGTCGAAAACTTTACTGTTACGAAAACTAGCTTGAGCCTATTCTACAATAGTCGTAAGCGTAGTTGTAAAAATTGACCAATCAAGTCGAATGTGAAAAGAATATTTTACCATAATTGATCAATTCTTACAACTACAATCACTTACAACTACGCTTACAACTATTGTAGAATAGGTTTTAGGGCTGCCGCATATAAAATTCCGTAACACTATGTATAATAAACACTGGGAAAACGTACGAGACGCGATAGTAAAATCGGCGGAGGCCACGGTTGGTTTTTGTAAAAGGAACAAAAACAAGCCGTGGTTTGATGAAGAATGCGTAAAAATTGTTAAAGTATGAAACGAAGCGCGCATCACGTGGTTGGGTCAAAATACGAAGGAAACTCAGGATCAGTTTCTTAAGATTAGGCAAGAGGCTCATAATATGTTTAAAATTAACAAGCGTCAATACTTAAAACGTAAAATTGAAGAAATAGATGAAAATTGTAAAAGCAGTAACGTACGAGGCACGTACATGGGGATAAATAATTTTAGAAAGGGATTCCAAGCTAGGACGGAAATGGTGAAAGATGAGAACGATAATTTAGTTACGGATACAACGGCAGTTTTAAACACATGGAAAAATTATTTTGATCGGTTATTGAATGTCGAATCTGAAAACGACCGGGAAATAGAGAATTTTGAGTATCACACGGCTGAACCTAGGATTAACGAACCGACAATTTCAGAAGTAGAAAGCGCGATTAAAAAATTAAAAAATCACAAAGCACCGGGTAATGACTTGATTCCGGCGGAACTGATTAAATGGGGGGGAAGTAGATTGATAGAAGAAATTCAGAAATTAATTATCTTAATATGGAATAAAGAAGCATTGCCGGAACAATGGAAAGATTCAATTATAATCCCGATTTTCAAAAAGGGGGACAAAATGAGTTGTAATAATTACCGGGGTATCTCACTTTTACCTACATGCTATAAAATTCTGTCGAATATTTTATTAATGAGGCTTGTACCATATGCAGATGAGATAATTGGAGATCATCAATGCGGCTTTAGGAGAAATAGATCGACTGCGGACCAAATCTTTACTATTCGGCAAATCTTGGAGAAAAAATGGGAATTCGACCAATCGGTACATCAACTTTACATTGATTTTAAAAAAGCGTATGATTCGATAAAACGGGAGAAAATGTATGAAATTTTAACTCGGTGGGGGATACCCAAAAAATTGGCTAACTTAGTCCAAGTTTGTTTAAAAGATACCAGAGGTAGAGTAAGAATAGGTAATCAAATGTCGGAAACTTTTAATATTCATAGCGGATTAAAGCAGGGGGATGCATTGTCACCTCTTCTGTTTAATCTAGTATTGGAATATGCTATTAAAGAAATGCAGAAGAGTAATGATGGTTTGCAGTTGAACGGTACAACACAAATATTAACATATGCGGACGATATTGCTTTGTTGGGAGATAATAAAGAAACACTAATAAATAACGCTAAAATTCTATTAGATAAAACGAAAGAACTGGGGCTGCAAATAAACGTTGAAAAAACTAAATATATGGTCACTGATAGAATTCAGAATATTCATAATAACGGAAACCTGGTCGTCTGTGATAAAATTTTTGAACGGGTTAGCAATTTTAAGTATTTAGGATCGATTTTAAACCAAACTAATGAAATAAGAGAAGAGCTCAAGAGAAGAATTAATTTGGGGAATGCGTGCTTCTATTCGGTTAAGAAACTACTCGGTTCGCGGATATTGTCTAGGCGCTTAAAAATTAGAATTTACAGAACGATTATTTTACCGGTAGTCCTTTATGGCAGCGAAGCGTGGTCACTTACATTACAAGACGAGAAAAGATTTAGGGCTTTCGAAAATAAAGTACTTCGAAAAATCATCGGGGCAAAACGCGATGAGGAAACGGGCGAATGGAGAAAATTACACAACGCAGAATTACATCAATTATATAATAGTCCGGATATTATTAATGTCATAAAATCGCGTCGATTAAGATGGGCAGGTCACGCGGCGCGTATGGATGAGAATCGAATTGCATATAAAGTACTAATTGGTAAACCGGATGGGAAAAGACCATTGGGTAGACCAAGACGTAGATGGGAAGAAAATATTAGAATGGACCTTAACGAAATGGGGTACGAGGGTCACAAATGGAGGGATCTGGCTCAGGGACAGGAACAGTGGCGGGATTTGGTATTGTATTTGCGGCAATGAGCTTTCGAGTTCCTAATGCCTAATAATAATAATAACACTATGTATAAGGTGTAAACTTAAGCCAATAAGCCAATCAGAATACTGCTTTAAATCTATGTAGTCTAATGGAAATAGAAATAGCAATAAACTATCCACATAAGGAGAGTTTTAACCGTTTGAAATTCACCTTATTACGAGATTATAGATAAGTTTAT